CTCAGAGGGGTGTGTGTGTGTGTGTGTGTGTGTGTGTGTGTGTGTGTGTGTGTGTGTGTGTGTGTGTGTGTGTGTGTGTGTGTGTGTGTGTGTGTGTGTGTGTATTTCAGTGCATGTCTGCATTCATATTTTCTGTCTGAACATTGTTTTGAAGGCAGAACGGGAGAAAGGAGAGATATAAACCTTCTTAAATGAAATTACTTGCACATCTCTATTTCTTTATAGATGTGGATGGGTATAAAGATATAGATAAAGATCTAATGTATCTGGTCATGTAAGAGGATTTCTGTCTCACCTTTCTATTGTACAGGAAGCACTGGAGATGGCTTGCAGCCATTTTAAAAGTAGAAAATAAACAAACAAAACTAGGAACACAATATAAAGGGGGGAAAATAGCGTAACCAGAGAGTTGGAGCACATAAAAACAGCCTTAAAATAAAGGCTGAAGATGGAGGTCAAACAGCAAGAGATAAAACAGATAAACAAAACCTTAGCACATACCATAAAACTTTACCCCAAGGTTGTTGGGTTTTTATTTTTATTTTATTTTTTTGGTATATGCAGGGAAGAATTAAGCCATGTCCCTATGTTTCTGGCACAATTACCTCACGCATTGAAAGAGCGATGGTGTTGCTGACCCCACCACAAATATCATAGGTCTTTGCTATCTTCATCCCCAGATGTGCAAGTGTGTACATTTTCCTTCACCAAGTATACACGTAGATTTCATGGCAAATATGGAGCAGAGTTCTCTCCCAATATAGATCTCCACATGTTCTGAGACCCTATGTAATCTCTTGTGCATACAAGTCTAACCATAAAGGTTTATCTACCAGAAACATGTACATCATGTAAAAAAGAAAGTACACCCTCTGAATTCTATGGTTTTAACTATCAGGAGATAATAAAAATCAGCTGGTCCTTAGCAGGTCTGAAATTGGGTAAATATAACCTCAAATGAACAATAACATGACATATTACATTGTGTCATGATTTACTTTACAAAAATAAAGCCAAAATGGAGAAGCCATGTGTGAAAACTAAGCACCCATTATGATTCAATAGCTTGTAGAACCACCTTTAGCAGCAAACAACTTGAAAGTAATTGTCTTCTGTCTGACTTGATCAGTCTCTCACATCGTTGTGGAGGACTTTTGGGCCACTCTTCTTTTTTATGGTTTTAAAATGCAAATTTCTGCTCTCAAATTTCTGCTCTCTATAGAACAGGTGGCAGGTCCCTCAAGATTCATAGTGCCTCCCTAAAAATGAAAGTACCTTTTGATTTTTTTTTTCAGACTCCTGAAGGCCCTAGCTGGTTCTGGTGGCAGAAAACTGGCTCTAGAACTCTCCAAAGTTGCCCATTCAGCACTACATGGCTGAGAGGGATAACACGTATATATTTCTGCAACAGGTTTTTACTCTCTTGTTGGTCTGCATGAGAATAAGGACCAAGAATCAAGCCAGACGTGCTTATGTCAAGGGAGAGAAATCCATCAATAATTAAGTTATCATGGGCTACATCTTGTTTCTCATGCTTGAGAGGAACAGGGATATTGTGTGATATCCATCTAGGCCATAACACAAGAATGGCCTCTGATCTGAGCAAGTGCAAGTGCCTCACCTTAAAATGGTGGGCTGAGGCCAATAGTACCCTACCATTAGGCTGAATGAGGAAGTCATCTCAGGTTGCAAACACATGAAGGCAGCAGCTAAGTATTGGTGGACAGAGTTCTGTTGTCTTCGGTGCAGTGACAGCCACTGTGCCGTCTCTAATGCTGAAGAAACTTGCAAGAGCTTCCACGCATGGAGGAGAAGTGAGCATCATTTTATTATTTGCCTCAGGTGGAAAACTACCTCAGGTTGGCCCCACACCCACCCCTCCTGAAGACATGGAATTTTGGAGAGTTGTCTATAAAGCAAATAGATGTTTGTTTCTCTTATGAACATATTGAAGGGATATGCTGCCCCTCCCCCCTTTTTGTTTCATTAAACCTGAAGCAAAACTCATACAGAAATGAGATTCCTTTCTCACTTTGTTTGGCCAGCCTACAGATGAGCAGCAACGTACCTTTTAAACTTGTAGATTAAAAAAACAGCCAAGCCCACGAAGACCACGGACAATAGCATCAACATCGCTGAACTGCTGTGCCCAGCACTGGAGTCGACAAGAGGTGCTAGGAGGTGAAGAAACATCACATCACATCGGGAAGTTGTTAATGGCAGGAGTGGGGATGGGGAGAGAGGAACTCCAGCTCTTTTTCCTTTGCAGCCTATAGTTTATTGTCACTGACATGTGGCACTCGCTGTTTGAGAAAAGGCAACTCGCATGGAAAATATTGATCCTCCCTCCCCTTTGAACTGAAGGCTGCAATTTTTGGGCAGCACCATAATGAAAAGGACGCTGCAGGCCATGTGCAGACAAACAGTGGGCAGATTACCCACCTCCCCACTTTGCTCTGCTTTCAATTCAGTCTTTTTACTGGACCAGGGAATACTGCCCCTTTTTAATGAGGAGCCAACAAAAGCAAGGAAGAGAAAGTGTTGAATCTCCTGTGTACCATGTGGCTTCAACAGAGGGGGGAAAAATCTCAAAATCCAATTTTTTTTCCATTGCAAATCTTTTACGTGACACTGAATTCACAATAATGTCACCTAAATTTGACAAATGTGGCTCCCTTTATTCTTCACATAACTAAAGAAAAATCTGAACACATTATCCTTTGCGTCCATTCAAGTTTTTTTTACTTACCTATCCTTTTCCAGCTCAGAATCAATGTCACAGCTGCATCCCTTCTTTCCCCATAACCCCCTTTTGGTCTAGTCGATGATGTCCAGTGGCGCATGGCAATGTATAGTGTTTGCCTGCCCTCGACAAGACTGACATCCTTGCACATACAAAGTGCTTTCACCTAAACTAATCAAGCAAGGCCTAAAGGATTTGGGTCTCCTCCTCCTTTTTGAGTGCTTTATACAGGACAAGCAACAAGAACTGCTAGATAGCTCAGTGGTTTAGATATCTCGCTGCAGAGTAAGAGGTTGGGAATTCAATTCCCCACTCTGCCTCCTTGACAGAGGCTGGACTTGATAATCCATAGGGTTCCTTGCAGTTCTAAGATTATTCTTATGAACAGCTCCCAAACAAGGCTGTGTATCTCAATCTGAGGAGATATAGTTCTGAAAATCATATTTTGGTTGAGGACAAAACTTGGAATGCTGGAGAAAAATAAATCCTCCCATTTTCCTCAATCCGATACACTTTCATCTGCTTCCATCCTTAGTCTATCCTAAATTTATTTAACCTTTTATTAGGGCATCCATACCTTGTACACTTTAGTTGTTCTTTTCCATACTCTTCTAAAGCTTTACATTATCCTTTTCAACATAAACCAATCTTACATGCTCGGAATTATACATCCTTGATACCTAAGAGAGAACCATTCAGCCACTAGGGCCTTCCCACTAAAGATATGGATCCTTCCTTTGCAATACTTCAGATCTCACATATATTTAATTCCTGTTCTTTCATACTAGACTGCAAGACTGGGGTTTCTTAGGAGGTAATTTATGCACATTTTTCTTAAGTACTTTTTGTAATGTTTTCATTTATCTACTCATGCTACCTAAATGACATACTCCTCTTGTTGACTTCAGGACGTTTCCAATAGTCTATATTTTAGTTATTCATAGTTTACAATGTGCACTGTCTCTTTTACAGACTTTATTTGAAATAACACATGAGCTTGCAAATGTGCAAAATCCTCATACTGAGCCTTGAGAGGCTTGAAAAGCTGTGTTCATTCATAGTGGTGAATCCAGGAAAAATGCCGTATTTTGCAGTGTATACAACACCTAATGTATAAAACGACCCCCTAATTTTGACCCTATGGAGGTGGAGGACCAGTTAATGGGCAACTGCTCCTCCATCTCCATCTCCTGCTGTCTCCGCTGGCCGCCTGATTACCTCCTCTAGTGCGACTGCCAGGCATCACCTCCAGCTCAAGTCACTGCCTTGTCCCCTGCCCTAAGGAGATCATGGGAGGAGGTGATCTGGCAGCAGCAGCAGGAAGAGGTGCCCGAACACACGAGAGTGCTTGTTTGCCTCCGCCTCTGTCTCCTCCTGCCTCCACCACCAGAGGGGACAAGGCAATGACGTGAGCTTAACCCCTCAGTCCCACGGAAGGTGGTGATCGGGTGGGCGGGGAAGGCAGTAGCAAGAGGCGCCCGAGTGCGTGTGAATGCTCTTCCGCCTCCACCTGCTGCTGCTGCTGCTGCCTCAGGGCCACCAGAGGGGACAAGCCGTGAGCTCTGGAAGAGGCAACTGGGCAGCGGTGGCAGCAAGAGGCGCCTGAGCACATGCACAACTGCTTCCTTCCATGTATAAAATGACACTCAATTTTTCCTCTATTTTAGGAAAAAGTGTCGTTTTATACATGGAAAAATATGGAATTTTTCATTTAGCGTTCTCCATACCCAAGATAATATAATTCCAGATAATTCAGTCTTTTGAGACACAGAAAGAGAGAGCTGGTTGCACTGGAGGAAGTAGATCAAGGATCACTGGTGAGCCAAGTCACAAGTAAAAAAAGAAAAGAAAGGAAAGGAAGCAAGAAAAGAAATGAAGCCTCTCTGATGAGCAAACCACTTTGACTTGAGTGGACATTTTCCCCAAACGACATCAACTAAAATGGTAAGTAAACTCCCTGCCCCCATAATGTTGATTATCACTAAAGTCATGCTGATGCATAGACTCTTCTCTTGGAATGAGACTAGGAGTGAGTCTTGGTTTCCCTGAAAATAATACAGGGTCTTATATTATTTTTTGCTCCAAATGCATTATGGCTTATCTTCAGGGAATGTCTTATTTTTTTCATGTATAACAATCTACATTTATTCAAATACTGTCATGTCATCTTATTCTGGTTGCTGCACAATGGTGGAGGGTGGGGTTTCACTTAACTGGGGCTTGTTTTTGGGGTAGAGCTTATATTACAAGCATCCTGAAAAATCATGCTAGGGCTTATTTTCAGGTTATGTCTTATTTTAGGGGAAACAGGGTATTTCCCTATTGTACAGAACAAACATATCCCAAATTCACAAGTGATTATGACAAATTTTATAATTAATTGGTGTGATATAGAAGTTCAGTGGTAACATTGCCAGGTATGCTCCCCAGGGCCAGGAAATTAGCAATTACAATGAAACTTTGCTTAGGTTAATACCAAAGTTATCCTTTGCCAAGAGTACTCCCCAGGACCAGGAAATTAGCAATTACAATGAAACTCTTACTTTGCTTAGGTTAATACCAAAGTTATCCTAATGTTGCATTACACATGCCTGTCCTCCATGATCTACTTACCTAATGTTAATTGTGTGACATATACAATGACTTCCACACCAGGTTTCAACTCAAACTGGACCAGGTTCTGATTTAAAGCATTGAAGAGGATTTCAACAATCTGGAAAATGAAAGATGGAAAATATGCACAAAGATAGCATATTAGAAGAATTCTCACAGACACATCCTATACACTAACAGCAACTCATTTCCTAAGTACCAGTCCATATGCAACACCATCCATGCAAAAGTTAGTAAAACAGGGTGCCATTTGTAGAAGGACCAAAGAAGTTTAGAAGTTTGGTGCAACTGAAAACCACTGGTGTCAATTATTATTCCCAAGGTTCCTACAGCTGCTTTGGAGCATATTTCCCCTCCACACCTAGTTCACGTTGGGGGTTTTTTTGGGAGGGGGGAGATGGTGTACAACCAAGAAAAAGATAGGAAAATGCTTCTTGTGTTTAGCAAGATCTAAATCTACATCATTATCTTATTATCTCAATGACATATATCCAGATAGTCCTAGTACAAAAACCTTCTTCCTTCAAATCCCTGTTGCTGGATCTGAGGGAAAACAAACCTGTCTATAGCCTTTCATGCATAAATCTACATCTATAAAGGACATAAACACTCTTTTAAGCTTCAAAGCTAAGCTTCTTAAGCTTCTCCAATCTAAATATCTAGATGAGAATAAAGCATATTATGAATGTACCACACAGATTTTTTTTACACCTCATGATCTGGTAGTCTTATGCCAAGTAGCTGGCTCCATCTAGGAGTAGTAAAACATTATAGTATTCTTCAGTGACTTATCATGGGAGAGTAAAGGGGTCTTGTGTTTGAAGAAGCTGATTTGGGATAGTGGTTAAGAGACAGTCAGATTGTGCATGTGCATTTCATCCCTTTACAGCATTATCCCTCCAGACACACAAATATTCTAGACTTATATGTATGAGAAATCAGATGACAGCACATTGTGTTTAGTACTCTCTGTGCTAAAGATGGCTTACAACATTGAAAGACAATATTTAAAGTTTAAAGCAAGGAGTTGACAATGATGGTTAGCATAATTGCAAATAATAACAAAAGCAAACACAGCCTAATTTGCTAAAGGTTGATTGGGACACATTTGGGTTAGAAGAAACATTTTGCCAGTATCCTATTCAGAGGAAAAGGCAGTTGAGCAAGTGCTTCTCAGTTCTTGCAGGCTCCCTTTTGCACATCCAGAGCTGCACTAGTTGCAAGATTATCTGTAATGCAGGGGAGCCTCTAGAGTCGGGGGAATATTTATTGAATAGTCTTCTGCTGTTTTCTCACTGAGAACTTTCCAAATAACCAAAAGGTTAAAAAATCTTTTTAAAATTAATTTAAAATTCAGAACACGGCCAAGAAGCCAGAAAAACCCACAACAACCATTAGATCCTGGCCGTGAAAGCCTTCGCGAATACATATTTATTTATTTATTTATTTATTTATTTATTCATTCATTCATACCCCGCCTATCTGGTCAATACAACCACTATAGGAGTAATGACCAAAACCTCCCAGAATCTCATGCTGGCAGTGGGATTCTCGAAGCTGGACTCTAAAACACTATCCACATGCTGAGGAGTTACACAAGAGTGAAATGACCACATTATACTTCCTGGCATATAGGCTGTTCTTCAGGTATCTTTGTTGTTGTTGTTATTATGTTGTTGTTGTTATGTGCTCCAAGTCAGAACTGACTTATAGCAACCCTAATAGGACATTCAAGATAAGTGAGGCATTTAAGAAGTGGTTTTACAACTTCCACTCCCCCAGTGAATTTCCATGGCTGGGTGGGGATTCAAGCTCTGCTTTCCAGAGGCCCAGTCCTCCACTCTATCACACTGGGTTCAGATATCTTTATGGAAGGGAAAAGGGCTGCAGTGCTGCACTCTGCCCCTACCAAATTTCTCGTGGTTGTAGAACAACTTTCTTTAGAAAGATAACATCCACATTTCATTTCCTATTCTTATTACACTGAGAACATTTAGCTCAGTGCTAAGGAGAACAGTTGTGAACATTCTAAAGCACCCCATAAATGTTAAGAATTGCTATAGATTTTTACGTAAATTCCATACCCATTAACAAAAGCAACTGAATCTGGTGGAAATGTGTTATTATACTTTTTGCTCCCACAAAACTCCTAACAGTGATTCAGTTGATTTTTATCACTGGGTAATTTTTGCATGGAAGATTTAACAAGGTTATGCTACTGTTCCTGACTCTAATCTGAATTCAGTGTAACAGCTGCTTTTCATCCTTTTAATTATCAATTTATATAAGAAAATGGGCATTACAAATTCCAAACACAGTTTGTACTACATTGTCTAACTATGTTTATAATTGGATTGTACAACCAATTTGGTTGAAACCTGAATCTGGCCAATTTGGACCAATTCATATCAGGATTAGATTGGTCGGAATTGGATCTAAGGCACATTGGGTTGGTCTGAGTCAGTCTGACCCAAATCTGATTCAGAGTCACTTCAGATCAATTCAGTAATTTAGACACTAGAATAAAGCCAGAAAAAATTCTTACAAAATGTTCCAGAACAGTATCATAGAAGGAAATGCTATGTGTTGTGGAATAAATTAACTGGATTTTGCTCATTGACAGCTCTAGCTTATTATTTGGGACAAGAATCTCACCAGTATATTATCACAGTGGGTGCAAGGAGAGATTCAATGAGTGTTCTGGTGGCTGCACTCTCAGAGTAACTGAGTCTGTCTCTTCACTTCCCAACTTTTTTGTCTCACTAACTTCAACAATCTAATCTAATTCTCCTGTTGTCTTTCTGTTCATTTATTTATTTTAGTAATTTTTTTATTATATCCACTATTTTTCTGCACTATCCATGAATGAGTTCTGCTTAACCTGAGGAAGTGCATTTCATCCATAAAAGCTTGCTACTTATTTTCAGTTTTAGTGGTCCAAAATTGGTGTCGTCCACTCTTTCATTTGTTTATTGTGTGTGAAGCTTAATGGGCTGAGCAGTCACACTTATGCTTTACCCCTCTCCAGATGTAATTTCCAAACTCAGCTGTGTGAGACAGATTTGTCTTTTAAAATACAATTTTATGGGTGTGTGATAAGGTTATGTTTACTATAATTTATGTTTCTCCTTCTTTAATCGTACCACTACAAGCCCCCTTTCCTATTTTTTCCTAATCCAATGCACCTCTCCTTAGTCTTTATACTTTTTGCTTATTTGAGTGCATCTGTATGTTAACCTCAGTGTTTTTTTAGGAAAATTTTAATGGACAGTGGCTCTTCCTTTATTCCCTTAGTCTCCTTTAACACTCCTATTTTAGTTCTAGTGTTTTAGGTTATGTTTGACTTTTGTTTCAATTTGTACACAGTGTATTTGTTTCATTTTTATACACAGTGTATAAAGGGTTAGGACAAGCACTACACATAAACAAAAGGTGCCACAACAGTACAAGAAAGAAGGACACAAATTAGCAGACTCTAAGCATAGTAAGGCAGACTGTAAAGGTAGACGGAACAAAAAAATGTTGTCCTTGTCTGTATGAGCTCCACCTGGCATCATCAGCTCAGGAGGAATTTTAATTTTGCCAAATTTCATGTAATTATGTGAAAAAAAAATAATATCCATTTTAAAAGAAAATGTTTTAAAATGACTAGCAAAAACCTCCTTGGGCCTATTTGCCTGAAATTTGGCAGAATTACTTATCTTCCTGCTAAGTATTGTGTCCTCAAATTTCATGCATATTCATGAAATGACACACATACACTCTTCTTGTTGTAAATTAATGAGAGGGGTGAAGACTTATATTTCCAAATTTTGATTTGGATCTGTATGGGAATCAGATGGGATCACGTCTGAAACAGTGTGACCTGAATCAGGTTTCAATCTGAGTAACTGAATCAGGTTCAGTCCATATTAGCCTAGCTAATCCTGTTTCTTTGAAGAGTTTTTTTTTAATATAACATGCATGTTTCCAAATATGGGATAGTACTCTTTACACATTGTGAGAGGTGAGGGAACTGCATTGTATGTGTGGCTAGCATCTGATGCAATGATGGTGGAAAGATGAAAAAGTGGTCAAAGCTCTTACAGCTTTAATACAAGAAGGTGTTGCAGCAGATGTAACTTATATGAGAAACAGTTTTCCTTTTGCATGTGGTTATTCATATGTTAGAATATTCCAGATGGGCGGGATATAAATCAAATAAATAAATAAATAAATAAATAAATAAATAAATAAATAAATAAATAAATAACTTCTGTACCATTTTTCTCCATTAATGTAGGAGCTATTTAGTTGAAATCTACTCAAACAAATAAATTCTGTGCCATTTTTCTCCATTAATGTAGGAGCTATTTAGTTGAAATCTACTCAAACAATCTTACTTGTGCCCAGATCATATTGTGTGATTATACTTGTGAAGATCCCAGACAGCACAGGAAAGTGCATCGTTTCTGCAGAATGATGGTATCCTAAATATGCTTCTGCAATGGGTTCTTCTGCTTATGGAAAGCTGCAGAAGCAGTGATGCATTTTCCAAGTGTGTGTCAGTGTGACTCCTAACTTTAAGTAACAGGATTATGCAAGAGGGGCTGAGAGTTGACAGGGCCCCTTGTGGCATTATTTGCACAATATTTCAATCCCGCCCAACCCAGTGAATGGAGATCCATGAATATTGAGTAAGAGCATTGCTATGATCTGGTCCAAGGGCTGTCTCTCCAAGTGCATGGAAATCTTGGATGCTGAAGTGACTCCTGCAGACCCTTTCAAACTGGAGCTTGAAATTCCCCTGTAAGTGATAGTATGTACTGGCGTGCTTTTCTTCTCAGGGGTATTGAATAGGGAAAAAGATCAGCTTTCATTTTTCTTCCATGCAAAGTGACTGAGGAAGAAAGTATATTACCACACCACCTCCGGGGGCATTAATGTCCTTATTCAAGTTCATGCATAACAATCTTGGCACAACTCCCTTCTTCTCCTGTTTCATCAGTGGATTTAAGGTAAGGTGTGAGTATTCTAAACAAGGGGGACTGGCCATGCAAGCTCCCATGCTTAAATTGTATTGTGGCGACGTTAAAGTGATCTTTGATTCTGCCCTTACCACATTATTTCCTTACACCTGTTACTTACACAAGATCTGCCCTGATGTCTTCAGAGAAAGGGTAGGGTATAAATCATATTGATGTTGGTAACAGAGATTATAATGTTAATGGTGGTAGTGGTGATGATGAAGGAAATACTTTTCTCCAAGCTCAGAATCTCACACACACACAGCTTACTGGAGGAGATGGTAACAGGAAGAAACGGCTAGAATTATATACTTTGGATGAGAAGTCAAGCACATTGAGAATCGCTTTAAGAATTTCCAAACATTCACTTTTAGCACTCAGTGACTATAGCAATGCATTCTGTGACAATCACATCACCGCTTCTCCATCCGTGATTTAAAGGCAAAATCAGTTTCTTTGTTTACAGTCTGGAAACTATAATATCATATTATATTACTTTTAATTTTATTACAACTTGGACACTATTATCAGTTAAAGGAGTGGCGCAGCCACTTAGAAGCCTTTGGTTTACAATGCGCCGAATGTGTGACAGTGCAATAAAGGATATCTAATGAGGAACATCTTCCTTACCTGTTCCAGGTCACCTTCACTGCCACTCCTTCTATCTGACATATTATGATAGGGTAAGATGAAGAGTTCTGCTGAGGTGGGCAATCCAGGGAACACCGCCACCAAAACTTGTTCATCAGGGATGCCAGTCACCTAAGAAGAGGAGCAGCCATAGGGTTAGGGGTATAATAATAACTGCACTAATATATTTTTGCCTACCTTCTTGTGCAAATTCTAGTATGCAAAAAAAAAAAACCCCAACAAGATAACACAAGACAAAAATACAACAAATTGTTTTTCTGGCTGATGCTCTTGTTGTTTTGTTTCAATCAGCTCTACCACAGTCCTTCTCAATATACCCTGATAATGACTGAGAAAGTTGGGATGAAGGATTGGCAGGTCAGCAACATCCCATTCTGTGAGATTTCAGGGACAAACCTAAAGTTGGGGCTAATCTTTTATAATGTCACAGATATGGGTCAGATGAGGACTTCATTTCTAGGTCATGCACTGCTGTTCCCAAGACATGTGTGATAAATAGGATCTAGAATTATGACACTGGTCCTCCACTTCCTGCCTAACTTTAAATGAGCTAGTGGGCCCAAAGCTAGCATACAAAAAAAAAAAGAATGAAGGAAGTGGACTGGGGAGAACTTACATTTGAGTCCATCCAACCATGTGATGGTAAATGCACACACACGCATTCATGCATGCATGCGTGCATGCACACATGCGTGCACATCTTTCTGCTGAGCCAGTGAACCCTAGAGCCAAATGAGATGATCTGTTCAGGTTCTGAAGCCACCTCAAAGATCAAACAGCCTTATCATCCAATGCTGCTTACTCTGATATTTGTATCCATATTTGGAGGCCCTGGGGAGCATAACAGAACCTTAAGAATGCAGTCAACATCTTGAAATCTGGCAAGCCTACTGAAGTCATATCCTATCACCCAAAGGAACATTCTTGTTTCACATCCCAAATATAGAATTAGGGTATGCTGTGCAGTGTCATAAGGCATCTAAGAGCAGGTGTACACCTTGTGCATTTAAATCATGAGACCTGTTCTAGTTCCCATTAAACTATGGTTCAGCTGATTTCTTATCTAGGTGAATCATGTTGTAAGTTTACTATATGTTCGCCATATACATATGAAGTTTGGACAGAACAGAATTAGGGATAAATTTTTTAAAAAATTAAATGGACATGGATTTTGCTCATTTGAAGAGCTTGCTGAATTAATTAATTTCATATTCCCAAAATTTGTCACAAAATAAAGCACTATTAACCTCAGAAATCAGCACAGTTGTAAGATCCTCAATATGCATCCATAGACTTCAAAAATACTGTATATATGGCAATGAGCATACAATTGGGAGAGAGAAAAAGACATGTACAAGCATATTTAATGCCCAGAGTAGACCTTTGGTCTAGATGGGTGGGGTATAAATCTAAATAAATAAATAAATATTTTAGTCAAATAGGAAAATGTGTACAAAATTAATCAGGAAATTAGGAAAATTGTGTAAATAAATGCATACATTATGGAATACTGGTATGACTTCTCACATGGGAAGAAGAGTTTCTTAACTTGATACAAAAAAAGATGAGACAGGGATGTAGGTGCGACTGGGAGAAATGCAACAAAATGGCAAGCAGAAGATATTCACATCTGGAACAATGAAGCAGTTTTGAGTCACAGAGTGTTCAAAAAGTCATTTGTTAGGATCCTTTGGGATCTTAGAAGGGGTAGGTCATTTGCTGCTTGCTTCTATAATGCTCAACTTGTGTATCTCCAAATAAACCAAGATACTATAAAAAAGCTGTACTTTTTAATGATCTCTTCCAAAAGAAGTCATGCTGATATGAGTTGTTGTTGTTGTTTAGTCATTAAGTCATGACCAACTCTTCGTGACCCCATGGACCAGAGCATGCCAGGCCCTCCTGTCTTCCACTGCCTCCTGGAGTTGGGTCAAATTCAAATTCTTGTTGGTAGGCTCGATGAACCTGTCTAACCATCTCGTCCTCTGTCGTCCTCTTCTCCTCTTGCCTTCACACTTTCCCAGCATCAGGGTCTTTTCTAGGGAGTCTTCTCTTATCATGAGAAGGCCAAAGGATTGGAGCCTCAGTTTCAGGATCTGTTCTTTCAGTGAGCACTCAGGGTTGATTTCCTTCACAATGGATAGGTTTATTCTCCTTGCAGTCCAGGGGACTCTCAAGAGTCTCCTCAAGCACCACAATTCAAAAGCATCAATTCTTCAGCAGTCAGCCTTTTTTATGGTCCAGCTCTCACTTCCATACATCGCTACTGGAAAAACCATAGCTTTGACTATTAGTTGGCAAGGTTATGTCTCTGCTTTTTGTCAAGGTTTGTCATTGCTTTCCTCCCAAGAAGCAGGCGTCTTTTAATTTTGTGGCTGCTGTCACCATCTGCAGTGATCATGGAGCCCAAGAAAGTAAAATCTGTCACTGCCTCCATATCTTGCGCTTCTGTTTACCAGGAGGTGATGGGACCAGTGGCCATGATCTTAGGTTTTTTGATGTTAAGCTTCAGACCATTTTTTGCACTTTCCTCTTTCACCCTCATTACGAGGTTCTTTAATTCTTCCTCACTTTCTGACATCAGAGTGGTCTCGTCAGCATATCTGAGGTTATTGATATTTCTTCTGGCAATCTTAATTCCAGCAATAGGATTCATCCAGTCCAGCCTTTCGCATGATTATTTAACTTTCTACATATAAGTTAAATAAGCCGGGGGACAATATACAGCCTTGTCGTACTCATTTCCCAATTTTGAACCATTCAGTTGTTCCATATCCAATTCTAACTGTTGCTTCCTGTCCCATGTATAGGTTTCTCAGGAGATAGATAAGATGGTCAGGCACTCCCATTTCTTTAAGGACTTGCCATACAGTTGTGTTCAAAATTATTCAGCCCCCAATGCTGTAAAGGGGTTTAGGGACTATAGTGTACATTTGGAATTGTATTCAGAATGAAATCCTACAAGGACGTTTTAAAGAACCAAATGCAACTAAAATAACATCAATTGTTTATGTAATACAGTAGTAAATGTTTCTTTTGTGGTTTCTTCATTGCCACAATTATTCAACCCCTTAAAGACTACCACTCTGAAGAAGAGAGGTTCATTCAGGTGTTTTCGATCAGGTATTGAAAACACCTGTGGATGTCACCGAGCACCAATCAAGCATAATAACCACCAATTAGGCAGCTTTAAAATGACTGTGATACTCAGCTCCTTCTAGACATTTACTGGTGTGGTTACAAACATGGTGAAGTCAAGAGAATGGTCCAGGAAGACAAGAGAAGAGGTGATTTGTCTTCACAGGAAGGGCAATGGCTATAAGAAGATTGCAAAGAAGTTAAACATACCAAGAGACACCATAGGAAGCATCATTCGCAAATTCAAGGCAAAGGGCACTGTTGAAATGCTACCTGGTCGTGGAAGAAAGAAGATGCTGACTTCGACTGCTGTGCGCTACCTAAAGCGTAGAGTGGTGAAAAGTCCCCGTGTGACTGCTGAGGAACTGAAAAAAGATTTGTCAGATGTGGGTATAGAAGTTTCAGCTCAGACAATAAGGCGCACACTGCGTAATGAAGGTCTCCATGCCAGAACCCCCAGGCGCACCCCCTTGCTGTCTCCCAAGAATAAGAAGAGTCGACTGCAGTATGCCAAAAGTCATGTGGGCAAACCACAAAAGTTGTGGGATAGTGTTCTGTGGACTGATGAAACAAAATTAGAACTGTTTGGGCCCATGGATCAACGCTATGTTTGGAGGAGGAAGAACAAGGCATATGACGAAAAGAACACCTTGCCTACTGTGAAGCATGGCGGAGGGTCAATAATGCTTTGGGGCTGTTTTGCTTCTGCAGGTACAGGGAAGCTTCAGCGTGTACAAGGTACCATGAATTCTCTTCAGTACCAGGAGATATTGGATGAAAATGTGATGCAGTCCGTCACACACCTGAGGCTTGGGAGACGTTGGACCTTTCAACAGGACAATGATCCCAAGCATACCTCCAAGTCCACTAGAGCATGGTTGCAGAGGAAAGGCTGGAACATTTTGGAGTGGCCATCGCAGTCACCAGACTTAAATCCGATTGAGAACCTCTGGTGGGACTTAAAGAAAGCAGTTGCAGTGCGCAAGCCTAAGAATTTGACTGAACTGGAGGCTTTTGCCCATGAAGAATGGGCGAAGATACCCGTAGATCGCTGCAAGACACTTGTGTCAAGCTATGCTTCACGTTTAAAAGCTGTTATAACTGTAAAAGGATGTTGTACTAAGTACTAAGATTGAATGTCACTTGGGGGTTGAATAAAAACTAATAATGATGTGAGCACAGAAAAGACATTTGTGGTTATTTCATTATAAACTTAAGGTTATATTTCTCTGACCTACAAGTGCCTCTTTCATGTAAATATAAGCAAGATGACTGAATGATCAAAATCAATGTCAAAATGGCCAAAACATCCAATTTCAGTGGGGGTTGAATAATTTTGAACACAACTGTAAACAGTAATAGAAATCATACTAGAAAAGAAGGTGATAAAGTTTGGGACTGAAACACTCTTTCTCCTTGATAGAAAGCGTTTGGTGTTTTCTTTTAGGCTTAAAAAGGAATTACGGTTGAATCTCCCTTCAACTGTTTTGGATAAAAGCCATACAGTGAAGGAGGCAATCGGAAGGCGCTTTCCTGTTCTGTCTCTCAAAAATGAGTAAAATCTCGGATGTCGGTTCCCTAAATTAAGCACTATGCCTTCTTTTTTGGTTCCTTTCACTGTTCATCTGCTTTATCACAGGGATTCGTTTTCAGGTTATAAGGAAGGGAAGCTGCAAAGGCCCATATAGATTAAAATATTCTTTTTAATGGAAGTCCTCTAAAGATTATGCACTGGAGGGTGCAATTTGGGAAGGGTTGCCGTTCGTGGCTGCAGCTCATAACTGCATTTTCCTGCAACATTTCCCTCCTTTTCGTCCCTCGGAGAAGTAGAGTTTACTTGTACAAGGGCTTAGTGGGGGCAGGGGAGTTTAGGGTTTTCCATTTGCAGCTGATATCTCAACTGAGAGTCCGTAGATTTCACTTGGCATTGGAGAAGGCTCAGGAGAATAGAGCATTTCTTGAAGAAAAGAGGTGGGTACAGTATTAGTTTGTACGGGTATTCGTTTGTACACCAAGCCTGGTAAACCAAGACACAGAAAGATGGGGATGAAATATATGCCAGATTTGGAAGACAGTTCCAGAAAAAAAATCCAAGGCAGCGTTATAAAAAAATTCTGGTGGTATATCAAAAATCCTTTTAGAAGACTGTTTGATACACTGTCTCTGATTTTCACTACTGTCAACAGAAGTGGAAAAATCCTAAGGCTAGACAGAATAACGTACTGTATTGCTTTTTCAATGAGGCTTTCAGCCGTTCGTCAAATATTAATGTCAAGACCTTTAATAATTAAAATCCTCAACAAGCGTAGTTTTGGCCCCTGGGCATCCAGATGGTCTTTGTTCTCTCCTGCAAAACAGGAAACCATCAACAAGCGTAGAAATCGTAATGTTTATTGACTATATATAATCCAGATGCAGTCAAAGACATTGCAATTAATCTGCTCTTTATAAATTGCACAACCTGCAATGCTCTGAGCAAAATGTAAAGGTGCAAAAAGAGATGTTCCTTTTCTGTCCGTGCAGAATTTCTAAACGCCGTTCTGGGAAAATTATTTCTAAAAGTCATTGTTACAGTTATGAATCGAAGTCCCCCATGAGTAGTTTAGGTAACGCAGTTACAATTTTAAAGGCCAACTCTTGTTTGTGAAACACAATTAAAACAGCAACTTCGGTCACTCTTCAGGATGAAATAT